GTCCCTACTCTTGAGCATAGGGAAGACAACCAGTCAGCAGCAACCTACAACCCTAAGTAAGATACTGCCTGTCGTTCTTATAACGCACCCACAGCTTAAAATGCGGGGAATACTTTGTAGTATGACACGGACTCTAAACCGATTCGCCACCTCCACAAGGACTTTTCACATTTGATCAGTGTCTTCAAATAAGGTAGTTGTCCAATTCACAACAGATAATTCTTGTTGCATCCCTTCAAAATTTGCTTTCTTGAAATTTGTAACCAAACTATCATTATTCCTGATCTCCATAAACAGCACAACATCGAACCTAATAGAACAATGATCACTTGCACCCAGATGTTCCCCAATATCCACCCTCTCAACCATTTCTACATAAAAAGTTAGCAATAAATATAAAATAGCATTGTTTCTAGCTGGTTCCTTGACTAACTGGTGAAGAAAGCCATCTTAAACAGTTTCCGAAAACCTTTCTCTCTTATGGTTTGACTCTAGCATTTCTCAATCTATATACCTGTAATGCAAATCAACCATAATGTATATTATGAACAGCTGAAATCTTAATCTCACTGTGAAGTGCCTCACTAATTTTATCAGTATCATCTGGTGATCTGTAACAAATTCCCACTAAAATCCTTTTCCCTTTATTTGCTAATAGAAACCCAAATGGATTCAGTGACCTTGCCATTACCGTTGATATCTTCAACTTTAACAGGATGTAACTCACATTTTACATGTAAAGCAATTCCTCCTCTCTCTTTAGTACTATATCCCTTTTAAATAACCTATAAACCTGCATTTCAAAGAAATCGGCTATTCAACCATGTTTCAGTTATTCCCAATATATCAAAATCCTCAATACCTACCATCGTTCTAAAGTCATATATTTTATTTCTTATACTTCTAGCAATACAGTAGTAACAATTAAGCCTATCCTAGAACTACTTCTATACTCATTTCCTATGCTAAACTTTTCTCTACATCGTACTTGTTTTTTCATTTAGTTTATCCTGGTCCTCACCACTGTTTGGTCCTAGTTTAAACTTCCTTTACAGCTGAGTCAGTAGCCCTCGCAAACAAGCCAGATCATACCCTATTTAAATGTAAACCACCCATTCCGAAAAGCTCCCTTCTCCCATTAAACTGATCCCACAAGACGAACCAGCCAATCTGCTCATCTTTACACCTTAACCTAAGCCTAGCATTCGCCCGCAATGACCTACTTATAATTTCATCCTCACAATTAATTTTTGTCAGTATCCCTGACACAGTAAAGTTATGGCCCTTTTTATAAATGCCTTTATCAATCCCTTATACTTATCAATCAGCTCCTCTAACATATCCACATCATTAGCCCTTACGTGCTCAACAAAAACTGCATCTCTGCTAGCCCCCTATATTATATATCTTGCTCTGTTAGTTATATCCTCCACCTGTGCCCCTGGGTAGCATAATCTAATTATTTTCTCCCTGGTTACCCCACATACTATCCTATCCACGTGCTTTGTCAAAGAATCTATATATATAAACGTCAATATGTGTGTGTGTATCTGTTCCCTATACGTTTCCACATTTCTTGATCAACCAGCACCAAACTTCACACAGTGATACAGAATGACATTAGAGAAGTCATGGAGGTTGGATCCCCCTCCCATCTAATTGCGGAAAAACTACCATTGTTGTATATCCCCCAGCATTAGAATGAACTATGTAACCATGATTGTAAGAATTCTTGAAAACAGTATGTCCTTCTTTTCAGTATTTGTACCTTTATGTATTTTATTGTATTTTTAATTTTAGAAAAAAATGAAAGCATAATTTCCTATTTTTATTTCACCTGTTCAACGAACGGGTACGCCAGCTATAACTATAACCTCCTAAAGTTTATCTCTCGCATCCTTCTCTGTCCCTTTTGATTTCCTTCCCTCCAATAGTTCCTCACCAGCACAAGCAGAGAGGTGGAATGTGTTGTTCAATAGGACATGCTTATTATTATATGCTTATTATAGAACATGCTTATTACAATTTAATCCACTAGATAGAATTAACTGTATTCAAATTATTGTTATAAAGACTTCACTTACTTCAAGCTTATTGTAACCATTAATTAAAATGTTAATTTTAATAACTCTGCATTTTACACGAAGAAAGTACTTTTATTACGGATTGTTAGATATTTTTTATACCTTTTAACGGAACCACACTATTTGGCAAGCTCAAGATGGTAAATTTAAATTCTCGTCTTTCATCAGATATGTCCAACTGCACCTTCTTTGCTAAAAAAAAAAATCAATATGTAAATCTAAAAAGTGTTTAGTAAATTAAATTATTACTACGCTCTAATTCAAGTTCAGGATAAATCCTGGCTTATTAATTGATATTAAACCATCAACAATAAGGGAAGGTAAACAGATACTTGTCAGCGAATGAAGAAAAAATAATATGCGAAGGTCATATAATATAGAAAGTAGACTGTTGGAAATAAATCACATTAAAACGCCCCCCAGTGGCACAGCGGTATGTCTGCGGACTTACAACGCTAGAATCTGGGTTTCGATACCCGTGGTGGGCAGAGCACAGATAGCCCATTGTGTAGCTTTGTGCTTAATTACAAACAAAAACAAAATCACATTAAAAAACTTCAATTTTATTTTCTTGGCTGCGACTTTCTGAGCAAACCCACGGATTTCAAGCCAGAAACAAGACTGTTGGTTAATGACAAACTACTGGAGGATGTTCTGCACGAGAAAAGAATGCAACGCGAGATATAAACAATATGGTAATAACAATACGAATAAGATGAAGAAAACGATGATGAGCTATTCATTTAAGATTAAGGAAATAATAGGTGTTTAAAGATGTAAAAAATAAATAAAAAATTTAATAAAAATAAGTACAAAACATTGAAAGAAATAACTTAAAACAATTTTCAAAACAATAATTAAGGTTATTTAAAAAAAGGGAGAGAAACGTTCGTTAATATCAAAAGGACTAATATAACCTACCTTGAAAATATATTTTTCGACTATGATTCTTTGATTGGCGTTGGAAGAGGCATAACATAGGGCAAGTATTTTGAAGTGCTCAACTGAATGATCAGCTTTGTTGAAGTGTCGAGCTAAAGGCTTATCTTAATCTCTAATGAAAATCCTACATAAGTGTTATGTGTGAGTTCAGCGAGCATAAGACTGCTTTCTGCTATGTAGATGTGGTCGCAATTGTTACAAATAATACAATAAACATTTAGATGTACTGCTGAAATGGCTATTTACAGAATAAAGACTTTACTTTCTGGGCAAACCCACGGATTTCAAGCCAGAAACAGAGCAATTAAAAGAAAAACTTTTATTTAATGGCTACAATAAGTTTGAAGATGTGAAGTCTTTACTCTATAAATTTAAACAATTTAAATGCAATTATTTCTAACTTGAACTATTAATTTTGGAGAACGATAGTACATAAGAACTAAATATAAAAACTAGCATGTATTTATACTAACACTTTCAGTACATTTGGGTCGGAAAGGCTAACTTCAGAGAGTTGGGCGTGGCTTTTTAAGGGGGAAGTAGGGGTCAGTGGCGGTATTAAAGACATAAGTAAAAATGACAAAGAAAAAATACAACGGAAAAAAAGACAATAATAATTACACAAACATGTAAAAAAGTAATAAAAAAATATTCAGGAATGGTATGAAATGACAAATTCCAAAACAAGAATTTTACATTTTATTATCACATACATGCGTAAACCCTGTAAGATAAAGAAAATTACACAATCAGATAAAAATAAATAAGTCCTACATTTCAGGAATGGTATGAAATGACAAATTCCAAAACAAGAATTTTACATTTTATTATCACATACATGCGTAAACCCTGTAAGATAAAGAAAATTACA